GTGTCCGGATAATATCCAACTTGGAACATGGTTTCCTGCGCGACTGGAGTATTCTCGTCGCCTTGACGAACTCCTTCTTTTAAAATGCGCGCATAAACGTCCGCTCCTAGCAGGACGTCAATTCGTGCGTCCGCTGCTAGATTGGGATCAGCCAGTTGCAAGTCCGCGAAAATTTAGTGACATTCGTATGTAATTCCTAAACCATAAAATACATCGGAATGAAAATTGTTTTCATAGGATTTTAAAAAATGTTGTTTTGAATTCGGTTAATGTATTGCACTTTTTTATTCATTTTTAATTTTTTCTAATTGTTTTTAGTTTAATTATTGCACAAAATTTGTTAAACGTTTCTCCTTTATTCTTGTTCAGTATTTTTTCTGCTATTCATACATTCACGTGCTGAAAATAAAAATTAATGCTGAAATTATTATATTCTGTAAATATTGCTAAGTATAAACTAGATACTTATATCATATCATACGATAGTTCCATGTGATTGTATATTGATTACATTAGTAACTCTAATGTATCTAATACATCTGCATCCAAAGTTTTCGCTTTCATTTTTGTGGTTCTTATTCTTAATGAGGATATATGTATATGGATCGGACGTTAATAATAATCTATAAAAAGTATCCTTGTTTGTATGTACTCTAGACATTTTTCTACTGTTCCGGCTTCTAAATTTTTTTAAATCTTTATGTCGTGTTTCCTGTGCTTCTTCACTAAGTTGGCCAATTGGTAATAATGCGTATTTTACAATCTTCGCGCCATGCATGAGTAATTTATGTACGTAAGCTGGCATATTATACCAGCCATAATGTTGAATATAATACTGTATTACGAGTGTATTTCTGCAATTTTTCGGGATTAATAGGACGTTGAGAAGATATTGCTTGCAGAATTATATAAAATTTTTTAATCAGGGATAAATCAATTCCAGTTATTTCTGATGAAATTTCGAAATCCCGAAAAAATCGTCGGGCTGTATTCCCATCATTCGGTGAGCCCCATCCTTGTTTCATGTAATCAATAAGG